GTGCTCCCAGAAAAACAGCTACATTTTAAAGTATTCTTTTAAAAATTCTCTAATAGGATGATATTATCTTCCGATTTAATTCCAACTCCACAGCCAAACCACAGACACACTTTAAAATGCCAAGAAAACTATGAGTTAGTTGCCTCACTATTTATTTAAACCTTTGTTTCTAGCAGGTAAGTATGATTACAATCAGAATTGTGATCACAAACTCTTTATGTCTCAAATATCAAGAACAAATATTAACTCAAAAAGAGTACAGGCTCCAAGAACAACAGATGCAGGGATGATGGGGATGAATAATTTAATTCCATACACACACAGGGAATAATATCAAACTCGGTTTACAAATATTGGCAAGATCCCAATCTTTACAGCCACATCCATGTGTTCACAAAAACAACTGGAAAAACCTTTATGGAATTCTTAATAGCCTCGCTGCCCCTGATTAACTAAGTGCATTATGGGGCTGACAGTCACAGCTTGAAAAAGTGCTACTGTGTAGTGTGCCTGTTGCTGAGGATGAAGTGGCCACTAAAAATGATTACACAAATATACAATATCTACCTCTGAGAATGTGCATAAAGAAGCCATTTGAACCGTTGTAAGTGGGACATCTATGCCAAACAAAAAAAATGCATAACTGCAAGTACCAGCATATGAGTATTTCCTGAATATATATCCAAGACACAGAGGAAGCTGAAGCACAGAATGAAACTTCTACAGCTCTATTATAGTGAATGGATAGCCCAAGATTCAGTCTGCAACAGAGTGGACCTCTCAGACTGAGAGAGACTGAGTCTAAAGAGCTCTTCCTTTACTTGCATGTAAAGAGCTAAGAGCGTGATTTTTTCCTATTATGGCACACAGCAACTTCACGCCTTCACAATGTATCTGGTACCTGAGACAATCTGCCGTAATTCCAAGCAAAGTGGTCAAGCTGAGGTGAACTGTCAGTGTCTCATACATGTGGCCAAACTGGGAAACCACAACCACAGAAGTACACCAGTTCAAAGAGACAGGTGCATTATAAGCCAAGAAGAAGTACATAATAAGAGCCCTGTTGGATCAGACCAGTGATCCATCTAGTCCAGCATCCTGTTTCACACAGTGGCCAACTTGTTCCTCTGGAGGTCCAACAACAAGGCCTAGATACCACTCTAATGGCAGAAAGTGAAGAGGACCTAAAGAGCCTCTTGTACACAGTGAAAGAAGAGAGCACAAAAGTTGGCTTGAAACTCAACATCAAAAAACTAAGATCATGGCATCCAGCCACATCACTCTTCGGCAAATAGAAGGGGAAGTCATGGAAGCAGTGACAGAATTCACATTCCTGGGATCCAAGATCACTGCAGACAGTGACTGCAGCCATGAAATTAAAAGACGCCTGCTCCTTGGGAGGAAAGCTATGGCCAACCTAGACAGCATAATAAAAGGTAGAAACATCACCCTGCCAACAAAAGTCTGCATGGTCAAAGCAATGGTATTCCCAGTAGTCATGTATGGCTGCAAGAGTTGGATTATAAGGAAGGCCGAGCGCCGAGGAATAGATTCTTTTGAACTATGGTGCTGGAGAAGACTCTTGAGAGTCCCTTGGACTGCAAGAAGATCAAATCAGTCAATCCTAAAAGAAATCCACCCTGACTGTTCCCTGGAAGGACAGATACTGAAGCTGAAGCTCAAATACTTTGGCCACCAAATGAGAAGGGAGCACTCACTGGAGAAGACCATGATGCTGGGAAAGACTGAAGGAAAAAGAAGACGGGGACGGCAAATCAATGCAACGAACATGAAATTGAGCAAACTCCGGAGGACGGCGGAAGACAGGAGGGCCTAGCATGATGTGGCCCATGGGGTCGTGAAGAGTCAGACTCGACTGTGTGACTGAACAGTCACCAGAACTTCACACAGTATTCCAAATGAGGCCACACCATTGACCTATATGAGGGCATTATAATACAGGCCATTTTATTTCAATCTCTTTCCTAATAGTATGCAACGAAAGTTTGCCTTTTTCAGTACTGCAGCACCAAGATCTAAGTCTCAGTAAATTCAGATGTAATTAGCCTATAAACTGGGATTTTTTGTTCCAACGTGCATCACCTTATGCTTACCAACACTGAACTTAATTTGTCCCATTGTTGGCCCATTCACCTAATTTATGAAGATCCTCCTGGAGCTCTTCACAATCATGCTTGCTTTTTACCATCCTGAATATTTTGTGTCATCAGCAAACATGGTCGCTCAACTACTTACCCCTAGTTCTAGATCATTTATGAATAAATTAATTAGTACCAGCACCAACACCAATAGTGATCCTTGTGGGACCCCACTGCTTACTTCCCTCCATTGTGAGAACTCTCCATTTATTCCTACTCTCTGCTTCCTGTCATTTACCAATTTTGAGTTCATAAAAGAATCCATGCTCTTATCCCATGACTGCTACGTTTATTCAGAAGAAATTATTGAGGTACCATGTCAAAAGCCTTTCGAAAGTCCAAATATATAATGTCTACTGGATCACCATTGTTTACATTCTTCTTCACTTTCTCAGAGAATTCCATATGGTTGGTGAGGCAGTATTTCCCTTTGCAGAAGTCATGGTTCCTCTTTGTGCCTAATAATTCTATCTTTAATTACAGTTTCTACTAAATTGCCTGGGATACATGTTAGGCTAACTGGCACGTAATTTCCTGGTTCCCGTCTTGACCTCTTTTTAAAAATTGATGTAATACTTCCTACTCTCCAGTCTTCTCGTACAGCGGCTGAATTTAGTGATAGGTTACATAAATGAATTAGTAGATCAACTGTTTCACATTTGAGTTCCCTAAGAACTTTTGGTTGTATGCCATCAGGACTTGGAGACTTATCAGTTTTTAATTTCCCCAACAGGTCTAGAACTTCATCTCTCATCACCTCAGTTTGACTCAGTTCTTCAGACTCCCTTCATTTTCCACAGTGAACACGCCCTCACTTCTGCAGGAATATACCACATACCCTGCAGTTGTGGACAGGTTCACATTGGGACCACACAGTGTAGCATCCAGACAAGAATAAAAGAACATGAAAGACACTGCAGACTTGGCCAACCTGAAAAATCAGCAGTGGCTGAACATAGCCTAACTCAAACAAGACACAGTAGCCTATTCCCAGACACTGAAATGCTGGACAACACATCCAATTACCATGTCAGATTACACAGGGAAGTCATTGGAATTCATAAACATAAACACAATTTCAACAGGAAAGAAGAGTTTAAAAATAAATAGGGCATGGTTTCTTGTTCTGAAAAACACAAAATGCTCTAAATCTTACAACAGCACTACAGATAAGATTAGAATTTCAACAGCCAATCCATATGCAAAAGAACCTCCTCAGGAAAGCTCCTCCATTAGCATGTCACAGCCTGGGTAACTCCTACAAGACAATGACTCAGCCCTACCCCACCTTCCTGAGATCTAAATTACCTCCCTACCATTTGTCTTCTCACATTGACACAGAGAGCATCTTTCTGTGTCATACCTCTGAGGATGCCAGTCACAGCTGCTAGCGAAACATCAGATACTTCAATGCCAAGACCACGGCCATACAACCCAGAGAATCTACAGCAACTAGTGAAGGATTTTGCTAAAGTAGGAGGAGCAAAAAGGTCAGCAGTGAGGCTCTGAAAAGCTCTGTTTTCTCTTCAGCAAGTGGTATGCAGGAAAGTTTCTATTTATTATTGCTAATAGCTATTGATAGACTATGCTCCATGAACTTGTCCAATCCTTTTTTTTTTTTTAGCCACTGCCATCATCACAATGTCTGGAAGCAAATTCCACAAAGTAATTATTGTACTATGTGAGGTAGTACTTCTTTTGTCAACTTGCAGTCATAGGTTGATTAATTTTCTTCCATCATATCAGAAGGAAGAAAAATTACTTTCTATCCACTTCCCCAAACATGCACAAATTTCTCCATCCCACCCCCATCCTCCAAGTAAGCATGCTTCTAAATTCAGAAGCCGCTTTATCCTATTCCAGCGATTTTGAACAGGAGCCATAAAGCCTCTTCAGAGGGTGATTTTCAAATCTTGGGGAACATTCAGAACTTCAGATGGCAAAAGGAGGACATTTAAGATTTTAGGCAGTGTCTCCTCACCACTTGCAAGGCTTCCTGCAACAAGAGGAGAGTTCTTTTATATTACTTAGTGCCCTGAAGACAGAGTCACAAGTTTCTCCTCAAGTCCCTTAAAAAGTGCTACACAGCAAACAGGAACCAAAACTAACACTAAGAAGCTGGCCAGTGGCTATCAGGCACAAGGGTTTCACTGAATGAATGCCTGAGATCTGAGTATTATATGCATACATCACAAATGTACCTATATAAATAAAATCATAAACTCTGGAGTCCTATTTTGCTGCAGCTCTTTTGTACGGTTTATTCCTGACCCTCCTTCCCCTACATAGACCCCACAGCCTCTCCTCCTCCTGAAAATCCACCTGGCTTTCCCACACCATTACTTACCTTCCAGATCATCCCCCTCACCTAAGCCTTTTGCCCAACTGTCCAGCTGTTCGCCCCACTTGCTCTTTTCCTCACTAACTCTCCTTTCCCTCTCACATCTCCATAGTTTCTACTTCCCTCCTCTGTCATCTGCTCGCTAACCTTTCTCGGTTCTTACCAACCCTAGCCTGACTAGCCCCATTGTGTAGAACCTTTGAACCACATATAGCAGAACCACCAACAGGAATTCACAAATAGTGTAACATTGATAGAACATGAACAGAGTCAGGACCTTGCTCAAAAACACAGAACAAAAAACGTAAAAGTACAAGAAGGCGGATCCTTATTCTCTAATGTGAATGGGATTTTAAAAACAAAAGCAGAACTAGCAATTAGTTAAAAATTACATTTTACCAACAGTCTAACTAAAAAGCATTTTCTCCTAACTGATGGTGCTCCCCCTCAAAACAAACAACAATAAAACACAAACCAAAATATTTTAAGGCTGGACTTACCGGTCACCTGTTTTTTCAGCTTTTCAATTTCTTCTTTTAGGGTTTTAATTTCTAAATCTTTGCTTGCTGTTAATGGACCATCTACAGTTGAATAATGTAGAGCCTGGACTGTCTGTGTAGACTCTTTTCATAAAAAACAAAAATAGAAAAATTAGACTTCAGTAGCACGTGAAGACTTTAGTGTCAAAGGTCTGACATCTTGAGACCTTTTCCAATATAATGTAGTTCCCAAGGAAAGCCCAAGGCCTCACAGGAAACCAAGAAAAAAGATCTCTGTCACACTTGTGCGGAGGGGGAGCTTTAATTAATTTATTACAGTTTTCCAACATTTTCCACTCTCCAGATTAGGGTTGCCAGGTCTGGGATGGAAAATACCTGGAGACTTTGGGGGCGGATCCGGGAGAGGGGAGGGGCCTCCATATGGTACAATGCCACGGAGTCCACCCTTCAAAGCAGCCATTTTCTCTAGGGGAGCTGATATCTGTCAGCTGGAGATAAGTTGTAAAAGCAGGAGATCCCCAGGCCCCACCTACTCCAGATCATTTGGACTTCATACTCTCTGAATGGCTATTAGCCACATGGTATAGATAGGGGCTCTGGGGCAAGTGATGCTCTGTCTTCTTGGTGCTTGGGGGGATCAACAGTGGGAGGGCTTCTAATGTCCTGGCCTCACTGGTGGACCTCCTGATGGCACCTGGTATTTTTGGCCACTATGTGACAGAGTGTTGGACTGGATGGGCCTTTGGCCTGATCCAACATTGGCGTCTCTTATGTTCTTATGTTGTTATGAGATGAGCGCATCCTGAAGTTGAGAAATCAGCCTTCACGGCCCCCATTCCTGGTGAAGGAAACTCTATGAAAATAAGCACTAGGTTGTATTAAGAGTTCCTATTACAGGAAGAAGCAGAATACTACATGTACTGTCTCTCAGTGTAAAAGATTTTTTGTTTCATCAAGCTGTATTAAATATACAAATGTATTGGTGCCTGGGGGGGGCAATAGTGGAGAGCTTCTAGTGCCCTGGCCCCTCTGCTGGACCTCCTGATGGCACCTGGTATTTTTGGCCACTGTGTGACAGAGTGTTGGACTGGATGGGCTATTAGCTTGATTCAACATTGGCTTCTCTTATGTTCTTATGTTCTTATTTATATCCTATAGCATTAAATAAACTTTTCTTAAAACTTAATTCCACAATAAATTATTAACGATTAGACCGTCAGATCCTTACTCTTAAATATAATATTATTTGTATTTAAGTTTCTGTTAATGTCTCCCCTCTCCCACTTTCCTCCATCTGGTGCTGTCGCTTTCTCTCTGTACTCTGCTATTCTTATTCATTTCATTTAGGAACTTTATATGCCACCTCCCCAGAGTCCTGCTATTCTGGGCTCAGCTATACTTGCCTATGGCTTCCAATACTACTTCTGCGCAGACAGCCTTCAACTGTATTGCTCACTATCTATTTTCTTTCTTTCCTTTAGCAAATGTACCTGCTGTCTTCTCTATGATCTCTAGCTGGATGGCTTCTCACCAGTTGCAACCCAGAATATCTAAGCTGCCGATTTACCTTTCACAGTGTTCTCTTTCTACCCCCTCCTTTTCTACTCTACTTAGGGTTGCCAAGTCGTAATTACCTTTTAGTGGGGGCAGTCCTGCACCTCCCTGGGAGTCTTCTGGCTCGTGCGCGAAGCATGCGCACCGCAATGACATCACCCGGATGTGACATCATCGCATCGGACACGTTGGGGGTGGGGCCACAATCATTTGAGGGAAAACCATAGAGTTTTCCCTCAAATGATAGAGCGTCCCTCCGCAACGTGCCCGACGCGATGACGTCACCTCTGGGTGACGTCTTCACACCAGGCACATCTCGCACGTTGGGGGCAGGGTTCCCCCTGGTGGCCTGATCCGGGCCGGCAGGGCCTATCGAGCGGGGGTTTCCCCGCCCCCCGGGGGGACCTGGCAACCCTAACTCTACTGGATAAGTTTGGTGTTTCCTCCCAAACTCAGGATTTATTTAAATGTTGTTTTCTAATGATCTCCTTACTTTTATCCTAATGTTCTATCTCTTGCTAATTCTTGCTGCTTTCAATCTCTTAACATTTCCAAAATGTGCCATTTTCTTTCATTTTATATGGCAAATAACTTTTTCAGTCTCTTGTGATCTCTTAAATTAACTACTTTAATGCCATCCTCAAAAGCTTTTCTGTTTCTACTCTCAAAAACATGCTTCATTGTCTTCACAATTCTCTAATTTATACCATCATAGTGTCCCCCTCCTATAGAGTCTCCAATGGTTTTCTTTTATTTTGTTCCATCCTGTCTTAAATTCTTGATTCTACTTTCCCCTCCTGTTTCTTCAGATTACCTCTTACACTCTGATCCGCTGAAGCTGGATCAACACATTCCTTATAAAGCTCAGGAAGATTACTTCCATCCCTTACTTCTGTCCCTTCTGCTTTGCAACTCCCTACTGTTGGGAACTCACAGCCTCCCAAAATTCACTGGTAGCCTTTTTAAAATTTCCACTGCATTCCTAAGCACATGTAAATCTTTCTAAACCCATTGAAGTCAATGGGTTTAGAAAGATCAAACTCTTTTTAGGATTGCAATGTTAGAATGCCATATATTCCCTCCAGCCTTCTACAGGCAGTTGTCTCAATCAATTTCCCTTCCCTCAAAAACATTTTGCAAGCCTGGGGACTAAGCTTGTCTCAGTTTAATTCTGTACAACTTTACTATTTATATTTATTTTAGAAATACACAATGATAATTAGATGAAAAATTCTCCAGCTGTCTTTGCACATCATACCATATTTTAACCTTTGCCATTACTGTTTGCAAAAATGTATTTTGTTCATCCAAAACCTTACAAAGCCAATGTTCCAGCATCTACATAAACAATTAACAAAGCCACATATCGGACATTTTTTTAAAACTGAAAATAAAAAATAAAACACATAGGAAACCTTTCAGAAATTTCACCTTAAAGTATTTTGCAATACTAAGAACGTTTCATAAAACCACAATTTAGTTTAACTCAAATAAATACTCAAAGTTCCTTTTTTAATACCTTGAAGTTTTCTACTAAGTTCAAGTTTTTCCTGCTCTAGCCGTCTTATTCGCCTCTCATACGCTTCTGTGGCTAATGTATCCTCAAGTGTCCTTTGAATGTTGGCATCAAGGTCCACAGCAGGTTGTCCAGCAGCAAATCTTAAACTACTGCAGTCCGAAAGGACACTGAAATGATGAAACAACAAAACCCTGAACAGATTTTACCAATATTTTAACTTAATCTTTATTCTAGTGGATCAACAGTACTATCCTAAGCAGGGTTACACCATTCTAAGTCCACTGAAGTGCTTAGGATGGCACTACAATATTAGATTCCAGCATAAACGCTTAAAATAACAACAGTGGCATAGCTTACAGATATTATGCAAAGCACACTCTGATTTGCGACAATATGTACATTTGAAAGGGAGCTGCAGCCCATCCTGGCGCCCAATAACAGCGCTTGTATTATACTTGTGAAATAAAACACTTTTACAGCAATCACCTATTACATTTTTGATATATATTTTTAAATGTCATGTCTGAAACTACTCACAGTGAAGCTGATGGCTTGTATACCACCAAGTGCCACATACTATTATTAACAGTGCATTTTTCCTTTATTTTATTTATTTATTAGATTTTTACCCCGCCCTCCCAGCAATTTCCCACATGGAAATTTTGTTATGTTACTGGGTAGAAGTCAACATCTGACTTCATTCAATAAAACCACATTCTTTATATGTTGTCATATTCGGCACTAACTCATTATTCAGGAAACAGAAAAGATCAAATTTGTTTTTACATGTTTACAGATTAACTGGAGAAGAAAAAATTAGGACATGGGAATGTGCAGTTTGTCTAATAAACTTGTAACTAAAATGAACAGTTGCTATAAATTAATACAAATTTTCTACTCACCAGTTACTTGTGTATGTGAATCCTACAAATGGCAGATGATGGCCTGAAAATGCAGTATGTGTTGGTGGGGGCATTGTCTCCTAGTGGATAAAAGAACATTGTACAGAATTAGATTTTATTAGTGTGTGGGGGGGAGCCCTGATACATATGAAAGCAGGGTACGACAGGACAAGTAGCAACTGGCCCTGGGATGTAAATGAACAACCATGCCTCTTCCCTCCTTGATGGAAAGAGCATTGAACAGTTAATACAGCTGCCTTTACTAGCCTTTTAAGGTACTACAATGGTCTGCATGGTCAGGTCCAGGGTTCCTTATTCCCAGCCACACCTGCCATCTAAAGTACAGACAGACAAACAGGAAAGACCACAACTATATTCTTTCCTGCTGGAAGGAAGCACAACATACAATAATGCTTCAACACACTTAGGCCCTCTCAGCAAGGGAGAGAAATGGGTAAGTTTCTTTAAAAAATGATTGCTTAAAACAATCACTACAATACACCATGTCAAATATATCAAATAAAGAAAACTTCAATTTTCAATAAATTTAGAAGGATATAATACCATTAGGATTGCACTGTAAATCACTGATATTCAAGTGCTATATTTCTGAAAAATTCAGAGCATGAAACAAACATAAAATCAAATTTTGAGGAAGTTGCACTCATATAACTCACAGAATTCTTCAAACAATCATCATCCACATCAAAGTTTGATGTATCTGTTGGACTGCTAACTTCAGGGATATAAGGTGCTTCACAATTTCGAATGTTATCCCAGTCAATCCCTGCAAAGAATGGGTGGTTCTTAAAATCTTCTATCCCGTTCTGCCCAAGTCTGTGTTCTCTGCTGCAGATGAGCCTACGAATAAGGTCTTTTGCATTTTCAGATATATCCGCCACTTGGACAGGAAACTGAAACCTCTCCTTAAAGAAAAGATTGTGAAAATTAGGGACACAGCAAGAACTTAAGAGTTTTTTGAAACCAGAAGGGCTTGCCAATTGATTTGACACACTTGTCTCTTTTCTATTACTCCTATGGTCATTTCTCTATCTTTATTAGTTCTCTTGTTTCATGAACCAATAACAACAAATAATTTGGTAACTACTAAGGTTAAACACGTGTTTATGCAGTGAAGACTCTGTTGATGGTTGGACTTCTTAACAATAAATCAATACAAGCTTCTGAAAGTATGAGATTTCCACTACAAATCTGTTATATTTAATTTGGATCCTACAATTCCCTTCTGCTAAGGGAAGACTTTTGCTCTGAAGCATAAGTCCTTAGTGAAAGGAAGTTCTAGGATTCCACCCATTGTTAATCAATCCTACAACTACTTAAAACTAATATCTGAATCACTTCCTGAGGTCGATTCGGGGGGGGGGGGTCACGGGGGATTGCAGTTCCCCCGGGTGAGATGCAGGGGGCGGGGCACACAACTAAGCCCCGCCCCCTTCTTCTGGCCGCCCCCTGCTTCCAGCCTCATCCTGTTGCAGAAGGAGGAAGAAGCAGGAGGGTAAGTTGGCGTCCTCCCCCTCTGCCTGGCCAAGGCCACTCCACGTGGCCTCCGCAAGAACTCCCAGCCCCATCTAGGAGCTTCCCCGAGGTAGCTGTGTTAGTCTGTTGCTGCAAAATAGTCCAAGAGTTCAAATAGCACCTTTAAGACTAACAAATAGCACCTTTAAGACTAACCTTTAAGACTAAGACTGAGTGGTGGGTGTGGCCTTATGACACACTTCTGGGGACGGCAGGGGGTGTGGCCTTATGACACACTTCCGGTGATGTCAGGGGGTGTGGCATATGCTAATGAGTTATGCTCATGAGTTCCCCTAGCTCTTTTTCTACGAAACGACCCCTGATCACTTCCAAATCATGCAGCATAACCATGGTACACAATGATCAAAAGGATACTTAGAAATTATTTTGACCAGTATACCATATTAAAAGAAACTGTACTGGAGAACCGCACCGGTGCGGCGCGGCAATGGGCGGAGTGCGGCTTCTCTCCGTGCCGCCTGACCGCTTACGGCTCTTTCCGAGTCTCCCGGTTGCTGGGAGAACTTGGCCAGCCCTCTCGGAATGAGGGCTGCAGTAAGGGGCGTCTTTTTTGGCCCCTCCTGCACTCGGCAAAGCGGGGGGGTGCCCAGAAACAGCCCCGATACAAGACCGTATGCTGGGGAAGAACATGGCTACTGCCATGTTCGGACTAGCCGCAGCCATCTGGCTTTTTTTTTAACTAAATGGAAGTTTCAACGAAGATACATATTACTACGGCAAGACAGAAGAAAACTGAAAGAGTGAGTAAGTTTTGGTGAAGTGCTAAGAAAAATCTCCAAAGAGGAAGTGTCCAAGAGTGGAAGTGAAAACGGCCGAGAGAAGTAAGGGACTTAATTTTGTATCGGTGCCTGACGAGGGGAAAAAGAAAATATAACTGCTGGCGTGCTTGTTGGTTGATGGACTTGTACTACTGGCAAAAATGCTAAAAGGGAAAAGAATTGACTGGCAGAAAGGTTTATGGAACACAGGGAAGCCTTTGTTGGAAATTTAAGTAGAACGATATGGAGAACTTGTTGGAGATGGAGGAAGAGACAGAAGCGGAGCAGGAGCTGGATGAAAACGCCGAGGTGGGTGAGCTGACTGTGGAACAATTTTTGAGAATACTGAGGGTGACAATTCAGAGAGAATGTAAAGAAGCATGCGAGAAAATAGTGGAAAAATTGGATAATGTGCAGAGAGGGTTTGGAAAGTTGGTGGAAATAGAACAGCCCAATTGGAGAGAAACACCAGAGGAGCGGCAAAAGGAGAAGTGTGTAGACATTAAAGAAAATGAAGTGGAGCCTATGCAAGAGAAAGAATGTGTGTTGAGTGAAAAAACTGGCAAGGATTTAAAGGGAAAAGATGTGTGAAAGTGGGACTTTTCAACTGTAATAAGAGACGGAAGAAGGAAAGAGAAGGAGAAAGGAGGATCAAGAGAAAGAAAAGAAGGGCCTGGAAATTTAAAGATAACAGTAAAAGAAGGAAGATGGAATGGTTGAACAACAGCAAGGAGAAATCTGGGAAGCTAAGAAGACATAAAGACCGAAGGCATGTAGATAGATTGAAGCAGAAAAGTAGATTGTTGATGTGTAAGAGGAAGAACAAGTTATTTAGAAAGATAGAATGAATGGTTTATACCTAAGATAAGATCAGATGGAATAATGACCTGGATGTTTAATATGGAATTTGACTTAGGGTATAATGTTTATGTTTATGTTTCTGTCTCATGTATGAGCTTACTAGAATAACAGGAGGGGATGTTTGACCCAGATAATGATATAGTAAGTTATTGGATATTAATTAAAGATCTTAATGAGGATTGTCAATAATGCAATAATATTAAATAAAATATTGAAGGGGGTACTAAATTGGCAATGTAAGTAGAAGAATGGTGTTTAGGAGATTAAATAAAGTTATGTAACAAGATGAAATGAGTGGGTGATGTATGATTGGAGGGAATAATGAATTAGAATGTATTTAAGTATTTATAGAGATTTTCTTTATTGGTTTTTTTTGTCAGTTTATGATGTGAGTTTATTAGAAAATCATGATGGAAAACTTAGTGATTTAATGTGATATTAGATATGAACAGGATAAAATAAAAGGAACATTGGAGGGGTGATGAAGTAGGAAACCAGGAGATAAATTTTAAAATAATTTATAAAAAATTTAGTGGAAGATATTTATTTAAACATGTATGTATTTATTAGTGTATAGTGGTTTTGGGAAGCTGAGTAGTGAGAAGGGTATGATTGAATGAGACTAGATAGTTTACTAATTGGATGGTTGTTACAATATCAATTGCGGGTCAAACAAAGATAACTTACTGTGGGAAGGTATAACTAATACATAGGAGATAAAGAGTTAATGGAAAATTAAGGGGAAAAATTAAAAAAAAGAAAAAAGAAAAGATAAATAAATTTGACTTTAAACCCTGTGTCCCATAATGGAAATAAGGTGCCGTAGGATACTAGTATGTTATAATATTGCCAATATGATCTTATTTAGGGCAGTATTCTATTCCAGAGGAAAATTAAAAGTTATATTGCTGTATATTCAACTTAGATTGGAGAATATGACTGATATCTCTGTGTTGCTGGAAAGAGAATAATGAGTCGAGAAAAATGTATATGTATTCTTGTTGATTAGATATGTATGTATGATACAGGCTTATATTGGAAAAACCTAATAAATATATTGTAAAAAAATAAATAAATAAAAGAAACTGTACTATAAGCATGTGATGTACGAAATATTATCATTACAATGACAGTACAAAAGAGAATTAAAGCTGATAAAAAGCAAGACTGTAATTAATTAAACACATTCTACAAGTGAAACAGACGATAAGCAATTTATAAATAACATAGCAATTAGCAGAACTAGCAGTTATTCAAGATTAATGGTTTATATATATAAAGATGGATCACTCACTTTATGGTTCATTATCTTTCCATAGGTTTCCACTAGGGACTCCGCATAAAAGGGAGTTTCTCCATAAAGCATTTCATACATGCAAACACCAAGAGACCACCAGTCACATTCAGGACCATACTTTCCTTTCCCATCTTCCATGGCTTGCAGGATTTCTGGAGAAATATAGTCTGGTGTTCCAACTGCCACTGAAGACTGAACCTGCAAGAATTAGCAGCTGCATGACTAAAAACGATCTACAATATTATGCATTCTTCTGTGTGAAGATTAGTGTATGTACAAAAAATCATTTTTTCCCTGATTCGGATCTATTGGACCTGGAAAAATATCGGTATTCCTGAATATTTCCAAATACCAATATCGGTATCGTACTGGTATTTGGGTAAATATTCAGGAAAGGTGCAATTATTCAGCTCTGTTATATCGGCAAGTGAAATTCTCCATAAGGTGTAATGGAAAATTTCACTTGCACCCCATAGGGTATAATGGAGAATTTCACTTGCCAAGTTGTGCTGCAGCGGCAGCATGACTTGGCGAGTTCAGAAGGCATTTAAACTCTACATGTACTCCATTCACTTGTCAAGTTCTGCCACCATAGTGGTGCTACTCAGTGAGTGAACTGAAGGCATTTAAACTTTAAATGCCTTCTGAGTTCACTTGCCATGTCACTTGGTCAGTGAACTCAGAAGGCATTTAAATGCCTTCTAGCCACACCTGATTAAAAGGCAAATAATCTCCGCTTTTATTTGGGCACAGCTATTTCAGCAGCCAAATCAGACTGTCTAAACTGTATTCGGTTGAATAAATATTTTTGAGGTATTTATTTGAAGAAAAAGAAGAGATTGGATTTATACCCTGCCCTTCACTCAGAGTCTCAGAGCATCTTACAATCTCCTTTTCCTTCCCCTCCCCACAACAGACACCCTGTGAGGTAGGTGGGGCTGAGAGAGCTCTTTCCAGCACTGTCCTTAAGAGAACAGCTCTGACAGAACTACGGCTTGCCCAAGGTCATCCAGCAGCCGCATGTGGAGGAGTGGGGAATCAAACCCAGTTCTCCCAGATTAGAGTCCATGCATTTAACCACTACAGCAAACTACCGTGGTATATACTTGGTATTTTTGACTTGGTATATACTGAGCGCACACCCTTAGTGCAGATGTGTGCATTTCTACTTGTACTGGCCATGAGGGGATGGAAGTAAAGGAGGTGACATTTCCCAGCAGGCCACTCTAGGGAGGCAAGGAAGGCTTTATCTGAGTCTTAAGCTACATGTAACAACTCACGATCT